AGAGTGCTGTGGCATCACTCACAGCAATCTCCAACTCCTGGGCTCAAGCGAGTCTCCTGCCTCTGCCTCCCAAGTAGTTGGGACCACAGGTGCCCGCCACAACGCCTGGCTATTTTTTGGTTGTAGCCATCATTGTTTTGGCGGGCCCGGGCTGGTTTTGAACCCGCCACCTTAGATGTATGTGGCTGGCGCCTTAGCCACTTGAGCCACAGGCATCAAGCCCTTATTTCTTTATTTTATTTTATTTTATTTTATTTTTGAGACAGTGTCTTACTCTGTCACCCTGGATAGAGTGCTGTTGCATCATAGCTCACAGCAACCTCAAATACCTGAGTCTCAAACACCTAGGTCTGAGTGATCCTTTTGCCTCAGCCTCCCAAGGAGCTGGGACTACAGGAGCCTATCACAATGCCCAGCTAGTTTTTCTATTTTTAGAAGAGATGGAGTCTTGCTCTTGCTCAGGCTGGTCTTGAACTCCTGCAAGCAATTCACCACTTTGGCCTCCCAGAGTGCTAGATTACAGGCATAAGCCACTGCACCTAGCTAGGGAGCTTATTAAGAGAGACTTGCTGCTTCTCAAAGGTAAAATGAGAAGGAAAGAGCTAATCTTCTCATTGGAGAGAGGGAAGATGGAAACACTCGTGTGTGTCCACAACAGATGGACAGACAAACAAAATATGTTCTATACCTACAGCCATAAAAAAGAAGGAAATCTTCATACATACACCCAGGGAAGATCCCTAAAAGGAACTGGTAACAAAATCAGTGCTTAACCAAGACAGGCGAAGAATGATAAACGTAACAAATATCATTTATTGAGCATTGCCTACAGGCCTCATATTACGCATACATGAACCTCATTGTGAGGTTAACCCTAAAAGAGGAAATACTGAGTTTTAAATATTGATACCTTTTATAAGATTCCACAACTAGTGCTTCCAGAAATGTGCTGTTTTCCCTATAGCCCTACAGTTTCCTCCAAAAACACAACTTGACATCTCTTCTAAGACAGGCCTCTGATAGGAGGAAGGTAACCTAACATCTTGGGGCTATGAAATTATGGTGATGGGAAAGAGCCAAGTGCAAATGACATCAAGTCACCTCGTCCTTCCTGGAGTCTTCTGTGGATATCCAGCTTTATTTGCATCTAAATATATTCATTTTGATTTACATCCTGGCTTCACAGCTGGGAACATTCTGACCCACTTTTTTTTTTTTTTTTTTTTTTTGTAGAGACAGAGTCTCACTTTATCCCCCTCAGTAGAGTGCCGTGGTGTCACACAGCACACAGCAACCTCCAACTCCTGGGTTTAGGTGATTCTCTTGCCTCAGCCTCCTGAGTAGCTGGGACTACAGGCGTCCACTACAACACTCGGCTATTTTTTTGTTGCATAGCCGGGGCCGGGTTTGAACCCACCACCTTCCGTATATGGGGCCGGCACCCTACCCACTGAGCCACAGGTGCTGCCCTCTGACCCACTTTTATCCTCCTCAGGCTTTTCCAACCCCACATCTCTTCAAACACCCTCAGGATGCCTCCATACCAAAGACCTCATATTTATGTCCCTTTTAAATCACCATCACTGCTGAGTGGAGACAGCTATGGTTTTGGAGCTAGATGGTCCTAGGTTGAAAGTTGGCTTCCCAGCACACCATCTGTGCAATCCAAAGCAAGTCACCCTCCTTTGCAGACTAAGATTTGATTCCTAACCTATAAAAAATGGACCAAATTTTCCTCCTGCATTTTTTTTTTTTGGTTGTTGTTGTTGTTGTTGCTGCTGCTACTGTTTGTCTTTAAGGATCAGAGTGGAATTTCCCAGGCACAGGATACATCCCCTAGTGTCATGCACAATGATTTTAGGTGCAGGCTGGGTGAGGTGGCTTGCGCCTATAATCCTAGCACTCTGGGAGGCCAAGGCAGATAGATTACTTGAGCTCAGAAGTTTGAGACCAGGCTGAGCAAGAGTGAGACCCCATCCCTACTAAAAATAGAAAAATAATAACTGGGCATTGTGGTGGGTACTGTAGGTGGGAGGCTGAGGATTGCTCAAACCCAGGAGTTTGAGGTTGCCGTGAGCTATGACTCACAGCATTCTACCCAGGGTGACAGAGTGAGATGCTGTCTCAAAAGAGGGGGGAAGATTGAATCACAGCATAAGTAAATTATTAGCTTTTAGCATGTCTTATAGTGCCTTTGATTATACCAAGAAGAAAGTCTGGCTTGGTGCCTGCAGCTCAAACAACTAAGGCGCCAGCTACATACACCAGAGCTGGCGGGTTCAAATTCAGCCCAGGCCTGGCAAACAACAATGACAACTACAACCAAAAAATAGCCAGGCATTGTGACAGGCACCTGTGGTCCAGCTACTTGGGAGGTTGAGGCAAGAGAATCGCTTAAGCCCAGGAGTGGGAGGTTGCTGTGAACTGTGATGCACAGCACTCTACCAGGGTGACAGCTTGAGGCTCTGTCTCAAAAAAAAAAAAAAGAAGAAGAAGAAGAAAGTCTATTTGAACCTAGTCTCTGGTCTCTGATATATCTCCATCATGATGTCATGACTAGCTACCTTCATAGAAAATAGTAGGTTTCAGGCTCCGAATCTTGTCTTGCAAGAGCATATAGGTAGAATCTTCTAACATTGTTTCGGTTTCATTAGATTTACTTTATGGTTACCTTGTATTTCACCCTGGATTTTTATTTATGCTATTGATATAGAGTTTCTATATTCAATACTTTTGCTTAAGTGAAAAAGCCTGAGTTGATATTAAGAAAAACACTAAGCTGGTGATGTCAGGTGGTGGAGGCACCCAGTAAAAATCATGAAGTTTTTGGGTGGCGCCTGTGGCTCAAGGCATATGCCAGAGGTGGCAGGTTCAAACCCAGCCCTGGCCAAACAACTGCAAAAAAAAATCACAAAGTTGAATTGAGACGAGCAGAGGGGTTCAAAGGACTGGCTCCACGGTGCTGAGTGCACTCAGCAAGATTTCCGATTCACCCCACACCCTCAGTAAGCTGAAGCTGCCGTTATCATTCCTCTTTCCATCCCTAGCCCACATATCTCACCCATCACAGGATTTTCCCCCAGCCCGATGGAGGGCCCTGTGACACTTACTGAAACACAGGAAGGACAGTAGCTTAGGGATCATGGTGGCTCTTCAGGTCCTGCAGTCCTCGTTGGGTTTTGCAGTCCACCAAAGGGAGAAAAGCTGGAGTCCTGGCAGTCCACTGCCTGCCCCCGACCCCAGTGTGTGGGCAATAATGGCTTAGCCCCTGCCTTTCAGTTCCCTCCTCCCACATCAACATTCAGGAAACTTGTTGGTGTTGCTGATTGCAACATATTCCTCAGACACGGTCTTCAAGGGCTTGACTCATAGGAAACCCTCAGCCTAATTTCAGGCATCAAACAGGTAGCCCCCCCAAATGGGTCAGACCTAGACCTGAAGGGTTCATGCCGAAGCAGTGAAAGCACCTTCGTTCTTAAGAGTACTAGAATCCCCTGGGCAGACACTAAGGTCACTAGACATTGGCCCAACAGAGCTTGTGGTCAGGGTTCCTTTGCTAAGGAAGATGCACAGATCCTACGTGACGTTTCACCCATAGTCCACGTCCATGACTCTAGGAAATAAAGACTGGACTTGTTTTTGATATGTCTTTGTCTTGGTGTTCTTTGTTTTTTTTTGTTTGTTTGTTTTTTTGAGACAGAGTCTCAAGCTATTGTCCTGGGTAGAGTGCTGTGGCATCACAGCAACCTCAAATTCTTGGGCTTAAGCAATTCTCTTGCTTCAGCCTCCCAAGTAGGTGGGACTACAAGCACTTGCCACAATGCCCGGCTATTTTTGTTGTTGTTGTTGCAGTTGTCATTGTTGTTTTAGCTGGCTGGGGCAGCATCCCATCCACTGAGCTACGGGCATTGCCCTTGGTGTTTTGGGTTTTTTTTAATTAAATTTATTCACTTGAATTCTACTTGAAAAGGCAATTTGAAGTCATTTAAAAAAGTCATTACTGAAGTCAGAATAAAGATGCATCTAGAGATTCTCCAAGGATACCACTCAACATTCTTTTTGCTTATCTGTCTGTCTATCCATCTATCCATCCATCTATTTATTTTAGAAACAAAGTCTCAGTCTCTCACCCTTGGTAGAGTGCCAAGGCATCATAGCTCACAGCAACCTCAAACTCTTGGGCTCAAGCGATCCTCTTGCCTCAGCCTTCTGAGTAGCTTGTACTACAGGCACCCACCACAATGCCCAGCTCATTTTTTAATAGAAAGCTTCTTGTTTCAGTAGAAAATCCTCAGCATTATCTTGAGTATCTTTCCTTGATAAGGGAGGATAGACTGTGAAACACATCAAGTGACTGACACTAAAAAACTCCAAAATATTTATTTTTTTGAATATTTATATATATTTTAATGTAGAGTCATTCAGTTTGCATGAAACAAAAGAATTGTCTTTAACATAAATATGGACTTCAGAAAAACACCATTTTACAAAATAAATCCCTGAGTATTTTATAATTTTGAAATAGTGCATTTTAGATCCGACCACAATGGCTTGCCTGGGATAAGATGAAAGTATCTTCATATTTAAGGAGAGAAGAGTTTACATGGAAATGAGAAGTATGGCTTAAATTCTAAATGATTGTTGGTGAGCCTTAGTAAAAAAGATTCATAGGCTGAGCAAACACTCAAAAGTGGAGTTTTCTAAGTAAATTGTTTAAATTTCAAAATATTTAGGAGATACCAATGTTTTTGTTTACATGAATAGCTTTTGTAACATTTGAGTCCTGGCTATAGGTGGAGCATCACCCAGGTAGTGTTCCTTGTACCCATTAGGGAGGTTTTTGCCCCTCACCTCCTCCTCTTTCCCCTCTGCTTGATTTCCACTGAATTTTTTTTTTTTTTGAGACAAAGTCTCCCTCTCACCCTGGCTAGAGTGCTGGGGCATCTTAGTTCACAGCAACCTCAAACTCCTGGGCTTAAGAGATCCTCCTGCCTCAGCCTCCTGAGTAGCTGGGACTACAAGCACCTACCAAGATGCCCAACTAGTTTTTCTATTTTTAGTAGAAACTGGGACTCTTGCTCAGGCTGGTTTGGAACTCCTGAGCTCAAGGGATCCTCCCAGTTGGGCCTCCCACAGTGCTGGGATTACAGGCCTGAGCCACCACACCCAGCAGATTTCCACAGAATTTTACATTCTTCTGTGCATGCGTGTGCTCATCAGTTAGTTCCCAATAGTGAGTACCTGTGCTTTTCATTTTTCCATTCTTTAGATACTTGACTTAGGAGTATGGTCTCTAGTTTTCTGCAAATTGTTGCAAAAGGCATTAAGTCATCCTTTTTATGCCTGAGTAGCACTCCCTGGTGTACATATACCACATTTTATTAATCCATTCATGAACTGATTCCACCTCTTAGCAACTGTGAATTGTGCTGTAATAAGCATTTGAGTGCAGGTGTCTTTTTCATTAAAAGATTTATTTTCCTTTGGGTAGATACACCAGTAGTAAGATTGCTGGATTGAATGGTAGGTCTACTTTTAGTTCTTTGAGGAATCTCCATACTCTTTTCCATAATGATTTGCAGTCCCACCAACAGTGTGTAAGTCTTTCTTTCTCTTTGTACCCATGCCAGCATCTATTGTTTTGGACTTTTATTTTATTTTATTTTTTTGAGCAGAGCCTCAAGCTGTTGCCCTGGGTAGGGTGCCATGGCATCACTGCTCACAGCAACCTCCAACTCCTGGGCTCAAGCGATTCTCCTGCCTCTGCCTCCCAAGTAGCTGGGACTACAGGCGCCTGCCACAATGCCTGGCTATCTGTAGCCATCATTGTTGTTTGGTGGGCCCGGGCTGGATTCGAACCCAACAGCTCAGGTGTATGTGCCTGGCGCTTTAGCCACTTGAGCCACAGACGCTGAGCCAAGGACCTTTAAATAAAAGCCATTCTAACAGGGATAAAGTGGCATCCCTGATGTCGATTTTCATTTCCCTGGTGGATTAGTGGTGTTGAGCATTTTTTCATATATTTTTCATATGTAATTTTCTTTTAAAATTTCAGATTAATATGAGGGTATAAATGATTAGGTTACAATGTTTGCAATTGTTAGGTAAAGTCCCTGTTGTAGTTGTGTCCTGCACCCAGGAGGTGCCACTTATCCTTTCATTGTGCCCATTAGGTGGGAGCACACCAATCCCCCACCTTCCTCCCCACTTGAATTGAATTGAGTTTTTCTCCTGTGTGGGTATTTGTTCATCTACTGGTTTTATATTAGTATTGAGTACATTGGATACTTGCTTTTCCATTCTTGTAACACTTTACTAAGAAGAATGTGTTTCAGTTCCATCCAGGTTAATACAAAAGATGTAAAGTCTCCATCCTTTTTATGGCTGAATAGTATTCCATGGCATACATATACCACAGTTTGTTAATCCACTCCTGAGTTGATGGGCATTTAGGCTGTTTCCACGTCTTAGTGATTGCAAATTAAACTGCACTAAATAATCTTGTACAAATGTCCTTATGATAAAATGATTTCTTTTTCCTTCTGGGTAGATGTCTAGTAATGGGACTGTGGGATTAAATGGAAGGTCTATTTCGAGTTCTTTGGGGATTGTCATAGATGCCTAGTAATGGGACTGTGGGATCAAATGGAAGGTCTATTTCGAGTTCTTTGGGGATTGTCAGTACTTCTTTTCATAGAGGCTGTATTAGTCTGCAGTCCCATCAACAGTGTAAAAGTGTTCCCTTCTCTCCACATCTGCACCAGCATTTGTAGCTTTGGGGCTTTGTGATGTGGGCTATTCTCACAGTTAGGTGATATCTCAGAGTGGTTTTGATTTGCATTTCTCTCATGATTAGGAGAATTTTCTAAGTAAATTCTTAAGAAACAAAATGATAAATAAAATGGGAAAGCGAATAATTTAACCAATGTTAGCTTAAAAGCAAACAGATTTTTGTAACTTCAAAAATCATTTTCCCTGGCCAGGCACAGTAGCTCACATCTGTAATCCCAGCACTTGGGGAGCCAAGGCAGGTGGATTACCTGAGCTCACGAGTTTGAGACCAGCCTAAGCAAGAGCAAGACCTCCATCTCTAAAAATAGCTGGTCGTTGTGGTGGGTGCCTGTAGTCCCAGCTACTTGGGAGCCTGAGGCAAGAGAATGACTTGAGCCCAAGAGTTGGAAGTTGCTGTGAGCTATGATGCCATGGCACTCTACCAAGGGTAACAAAGTGAGACTCTGTCTCAAAAAAAAATTTTTTTTCCCTGTAGCTTTTCATACATAACACAGGGCTGTCATTTCAACCTGAAGTCAAAATGATTTTTACTTATTTATTAAAGAACAAAGAAAAAAGTTGACTCATATACTACCACTTGACTCAAAAAAATTAAGACTCAAAGATGCTAAAAAAATAATTCAAAGATGCCATTTTAAAAAAGAATCCAAAATGGCCATACTGGCAAATCTACAGTGTATTATAAGAAAAGAAAGTAATATAGCAATCTAATAGCACTAAACTAAGGATATGCTTCCCAGAAAAAAGGATCCTGAGACACCAGGAACAAGCTGCAATTTCCTTCTCTTCCTGAGAGCTGTGTGGGTGTGCTGTCTCTTACAATCAGGAACCATTACCATGCCCATAAAACAACTCAGAACAGGAAGTGGCTCTGTGGCTGGGGCTCCTTATACTGGGAAGGTCACCTGACATATTCTTGCTACACTAGCAGCCCAACCGCTGAGCCCTCTGGGGTTCTCACCAAGTGTAATAAATTTTCACTCTCCCTGTAACCAATAAACAATGGTGGACAGCCAGTAAAAAAAAAAAAAAAAAAAAAAAATCTTCCCAGAATGCCTAGCACCCATGGTTACAAAGTAACACTATTAATCATCATGTCATCATGTTTCATTCCATGACCTGGGATCAGTATCCTGTGAGTACCTTTTTAGGTCAACAAAGTAGAACAGATCACTTCCTACAGGAATGAACCATCACAGCACTGTCCTACAACAACTATGCCAAATGAAGCAGAGTCTCACTTTGTCACCCTCGGTAGTGTGTCGTGGCATCACAGCTCACAGAAACCTCAAACTCCTGGGCTCAAGTGATTCTCTGGCCTCAGTCTCTCAAGTAGCTGGGACTACAGACGC